CGGGACACAGCCCCCAAATGCCAGGGGGACACCGGAGCTCCCCCAGTACTGTCCCCACAGAAGCACTAACAGCCCCCCACTGACCCAACCCTGTCTTGGGGCTCCCCCCAGCAGGGAAACAACCAAAGCCTTGAACTCTGCGGCTCAAGGGCCCTCTGAGGTTTCTTTGTCTGGTGGGTTTTGATCCCCCAGGTGATGAGAGGAGGTGGCACAGCCAGCGGTGCCCCTCGGTGCCGACACTGGCACCTGTGTCACTGTCACTGTGATGCTCCAGGGGACGTTTGTGCCCCTCGGTGCGGGACAAGCACAGGAGCATCCCCTGGACTGCCCGAGGTGCCCCCAGGAGATGGAGAGGAATACGAGGATGGTACCAACCTTCTTCTTCTCGGAGAGGTCGTTCCACATGCGGGCCAGGAGCCGGGTGAGCTCACTCTCCGACAGCTCTGGCCGCTCCTCCTGCAGCTGCTTCCGCTTCTCCTCCGAGAAGATGAACATGGCTGAGATGGGCCTCTTGGGCTTCTCTGAGCTGGCCTGAGGGGGCACAGGGCTGTCAGGGGGGTGAGCCCATGCAGGGACCAAAGCCCTCAAAGCCCCTTGAGATGCACAACCCCATCCCAAGGCTCTGGCAGGTGCTGCCCCATCCCTCCCGGGGCCGTTCCCACCTTGCCAGTCTCTGGGGAGGATTTTTTGGATGCAGGACTCGTCGCCCCTTTCCGGTTGCTGCCCAGCATCTTCTCCTCGCCCAGCACCCGCTGCTGCTCCTCCTCGGGCAGGCTCTGGGTGCACAGGAGGAGAGACATCGTTAGCCCATGATAATGAGGCCTTGAGGCAACTGGGGAATAGGGACTCTGGGGAGGGGGAATTAATGCACTTGGGTGTCCTGAAGCAAATCCTGTCCCAGTCAGGACCAGCATTCAGAACTGCACATGTTCCTGGGTGTCCCCACGCTGTCACCCCCTATCTGGGCAGTGTCCCTCGTCCCCAGCTCTGTCCCCTCCCCGGCTCAGCCGTTTCTCAGTGAAAGCAGGTGAGCAGGTGCCTGGATCTGGGCACACCCCTGGGTTTTCCACCCCGTGCCCCTGCAGCTGCAGCAGGGCCGTGTCACATCCGCCCAGGGACGATGCTGGGGTGGCCTCGCTGCGGCTCCCCCGCCCACACCCAGCAAGGGAAGGAAGTGAGAGGCTGCACAGCCACAGCCACTGAACACCCTCCCCTCCAGCTCTCTGCTCACCCCAGCTCCCCTCCCAGTGCCCAGCTGGAAGACACTGGCTCAGGCACCAGGACAGCCGGAACGTCAAAGCTATGTGCAACCATCTGCACAGCACCCACAGCTGGGCCCTGACATGCTTTGGGGGAGCAGAGAGGGCAGCCCCCCATTTAAGCCATCCCAGTCCCTGGTCAGAGTTCCCCATTCCCAGATTTGGGATCTCCAGCACACGAGGGCTGAGCACCCCCTCATCACTCACCTCCAGGAAGCGGAGCAGCTCAATCTCGTAATCTTTCTTTTTCTGGAGGGAGATGGGGATGTGTGGTTACACAGAGATCCCTCACTCCATCCCTGCCCCTGACCCAGCCTCCACCCCTTGGCAGCAGCACCCTCCTCCTGGACCATCTGTTTGTCCACACAGGAGACAGGAGCAGGGGAGGTGAGCGAGGACCTCAGGGAGAGTCAGTGATGCAGAGTAGCACACGGACTGAGGAAAGGTGAAGGCTCCGTTTCCAGGGACATTTGTAGCCCAGACTCTCCCATCCCACTGTTCCTTTCCCACAGCACTGGTGCCCACCTGCCTCTCTCCCCCTACCTGTCCATCCTCAGCCGCTCACCTGGTCACACTTTTTGTGGTAAGCATCCTTTTCCTTCTGGGAGAGCAGCTTCCACTGCTGGCTGCACAGCACCATCCGCTCCGTGCTGGGCACGTCTTTCATGTTGGCCATCAGCTCTGCACAGTACAGGGAGTAGCTGTTCCTGAAAAACCCACGGAGGGACCCAGTGTTAGGGAAAACCTGCCCCTGGGGAGCTGGCTCGGTGCTAAAAGCCTCCCCAAAACCCTCACCTGGGCTGCACCACGCAAGGAAGTGAAGTGCCTGTGTTTTAGGGCAGCTGGCTGCTGGATCACCCCTAAAAGCCAGGGTATCACTGTAAACCTTGCTCAGATTCTCCCCAAAATACGTATTTTATGTGTATTTAGAGACTGGTTTAGAGGGATCATCACAGAATCATGTAATCATTAAGGCTGGAGAAGCCTTCTAAGATAATTAGCTCAACCATTAACTATCACTGCCAAGCCCACCACTAAACCATGTCCTCAGGTGCCACATCTGCACTTTTTGAACACTTCCAGGGATGGTGACTCCACCACTGCCCTGCGCAGCCCTGGCTTGACCATGAATAAATTTACCCTATAAATGCCATCTAACCCCTCCGTGTCCGTGATCCCAGAAGTTCTCTGGGCTTCCCAAGCCCAGCAGAGTCCAGTTTCCCTGCTGGCAAGAGCCAGCACCAGCCAGGAGGGACAGGACTCACGGGGGTGGCTTCGTGGGTCGTCCGTCGAACTTGTCCTTGAGCTGCCGCTCGGCCTTGGTGAGGGTGGAGCGGGTGATCCCCTCCTCGCTGATGTTCAGCTCCGGGTGCTTCTGGATGTAATCCCGCATGATCTCCTGTGGAGAATGGAGAGCCATCAGAGGGACTGCCACCCCCGCCTGCTGGGGCTGGAGGAGGAGGAGAGAGAAGCCAACCATTGCCCTAATCCTGCTCCTCGGGATGCTGCTGCCTGCCCTGCACACGGCTGGAGAGGCAGGGCTCACACTCTCTAGGGACCTGCCAGGACCTGCCTGAACCCCCACGCTGGCTATCGGGAGAGGCCACGCAGGGCTGGGACGCAGAGGCTCAGAGTGAATGTTGGAGTGTGGAGTGTGGAGGGGACCGGGTGAGGCTGCTCCCTACCTCGTACTCCTTCCGCTGTTCCAGGGCCTTATGAATCCATTTCAGCCTCTTTTTATCCGAGAGTTGAGACCACTGCTTGCCCAGCGACTCTTTCACCTCCTTCGTGGTGGCCTGAAAACCCAAAGCCAGAGGTGAGGGCAGAGGGGTAAAATCCAAAAAAAAAAAGAGGAATGAAAAAATATAAAAAAATGGCAAAAAAACGGCGTGGCCTGGTGGGGCCTGGCAGCACCCGGCACGGGCGGCTGGAAGCCGTTGGGGGTGTGTGGCAGTGGGGGGCATGGCCAGAGGTGAATGTCTGTGCTGGAATCCTTTCCTGCCCTGACTCAGGCTGTGGTCACCCCTTCCTGGCAAAAAGTGGGGGCTGGATCCCTGAGCCTCTTCCAGGTGTGCAGAGCCCCTCCTTACCTCAGTCCAGGCTCCGGGAGCTGCTAGCGGTGTCCTCCATCCCGACCCCCTAAAATGCTTCTCTCCCTTCCCCTCCTGCCCCCAGCAGCGGGGTCCAGGACCCCCCAGCACTCACACTCGCACTCACTCCCACCCACCGTACTCACATCTGGACGCACTTTCAAGTAGATCTTCTTCTCGTGGTTGTACCACAGCTGCTGGGGGGTCTTGGGCTTTTCGGGGACGTCGGATTTCTTGGCGTTCTGGATGAGATCCGGGTGGTCTTCCCTTCAGCAGGCAGGGAGGTGGGGAAGGGAGAGCGTCAGGGGGGCGGCAAGGAGAGCAGCCCTAAACCTGCCTGCTAAGGAGTGACTGTCACTGCAGGGCTGAGCCTCCATGGCTCAGCTACTGGGGGGGCCCAAAAAGAGCAGGAGGGTTTTAGGACAGATTTCAGTTTGTCCGTCCTCGGGGAGCATTGGCTACAAGGATCCCTGGGCTTGGCTGCAGCCCTGGAGCAACAGCAGGTCATTGGAAATGGCAGGATCCACCTGGATCACAGCAATCACATCCAAGGGAAGGTCTGGAGTGACTGGGGGACACTTCAGCTTCTATCAGTGCTGGCAGTGGGGCTCCTGTCCCCAGCTCGCAGCCTCTGACCCCCAGAGCATGGCTGGTCCTGTGCTGCCCCCCATCCAGTCTCCCAGCTGGAGGGATGCTCTCAGACACCTTTTCCTTGCTATCTTTTCGCTGAATTCCCTCTTCAAGCCAAAAGCCCATCAGGGCTTCCTCTGTGAGCTATGCACAGGAGGAGAACCTGGATCTGCCTGGAGGGGCCTGGGGAAATGTGGGGGTGGGCTGCCTGCTCACCTGAACCTCGCCAAGTTCCTCTCAAACTCCTGCTTCTCTCGCTGGAAGTCCTGGATGTATTTCATCTGGGGACACAAAGCCACCACAGAGGTGGAGAGGGACATCAGCACCAGGGACCGGGCGGGAAGACACCTCCCTATCGACTTGGCTGGGCATCCCACCATCCCAAGAGGGACTCAGGGGCTCCCCAGCCCAGAGAATGGTCCTGCAGAGGGTTTCCAGCCTGCCTGAGATTCAGCAGCCGGGTATCTCCCCTCCCTGTGTATCCCAGCAGCCCTGGGAAAGGGCACAGCAGGACTTCGTGCCCTGGACTTTTCCTGGACAGCCCAGAGGGAAAGCTGGGCTGCCCCAAAGCCCTGCCCAAGCTCTGGTGGGCAGATGTCTGCTCCCAGCATCTCCCAGAGCCTGTCCCCGTGTCCCTCACCCGGACAGGGTGGCACGGCGGGGCGTGTGCCCTAAGCCTGGCATTAAACATGGATCCACCCAAAGCCACCATCCAGGTCCGTCAGGGAGAGACGGACCAACGGACAGACCCAACCAGCCTCCACCCCACAGATCCTGGGAACCAGGACAGGAAAAGCCAAGGAAGTCTTACAGGTCTGACAGGACTAAACAAACACCTGGCTTCTCCTGTCGAGAGCTGGATTAAGCCCTCGCCAGGCAGAGCTTGAGCTCCGCTGGTTTTACTGGAAGAGCTGAGCAGAGCCCAGCACACAGAGGCACGTGGTGGGAAGGGGCTTCCTGACCCCCCCATACCTTTTTCTTCTCGGGAAGCTCCTTGTATTTCTTGGACAGGATCTTGGTGAGATCCAGGTTGCTCATTTCGGGGTGAAGCTTGGCGTATTTGGCTCGCTTCTCCATGAAGAAGCGGAAATAGGGAGTCAGGGGCTTCTTGGGGAAGTCGGGGTGTTTCTGGGGAGACAGCAGAGTGGAGCACACTGAGCAGGGAGCTGGCAGCACAGCCAAGCCCACGGCTCCCCAGTCCTGGGGGCACCTGCCTCCATCCAGCCCTGCTGGTGATCCAGGCAAGGAGGGGGAAACTGCTGGGAACGAGGGCTCCCCGAGGAGCTACAGCAGCCCACGGCTGGGAACCTCGGGAGCGGCCACCAGCCACCCAGAGCTGCCAGCACAGAGCAAAGGGGACACGGGGCAGGAGGAGGGGATGGGACCCAGCTCCCAGGGATGGACCATCGGCTGCCCCAGGGCCACCCGGCTGAAAGCGCCCGGCAGGCCAGGAACAGGAGGGCAGCTCTGGCCCCTCTGGAGCTAAACTGGGCTGCAGGCTGCCAGCAGTACAGCCTGCCATATTAAATGCAGCCGGGAGTTGGCCCGGGCCCAGCGCCGCGGGCTCCGGGACAGCCGGACACCGGGATTCCGGGCAGTGAGGTGCCTGCAGGGGCTCCCACGGCCCAGCCACGCGGGTCTGAGGTGCCACAGGGCCACAGGCCCCCACCCTGGGCAAGTGTGGGGTCACCCTTTAGGGACTCAGCCTAATTCCTGCCCAATACCTTGAGCTTTTTGCCTTTGTAAGGATTCTTCACGTGCTCTTCAGCATCCATAATGAGCTCTGTGAGGGTCCGGAATTTCCTCACCTGTGCAGGAAATGAAGAGACAAAGACTTGAACAGGGGATAGGGCAGATCCCCAGCATAGCAGAAACCCACTGGGTTTTGTAATGCCACCCCAAAATGACCGATCCCAGCCCCTCTGAGGGGGTCACAATGCTGACAGCAGCGGGATGGCGCCGGCACCAACGGCCGAGGGCTCTGGGCACTCGACTTGGACAATTCCAACAGCCCTGGGAATGTCAGTAGGACACTCAGACCCTGTCACAAAGCCCCCACAAATCCCCATGTGGTGTCAATTACCTCATTTGAGATCTCCATCCACTTCATCTTGCACATCTCCCCTGAGAAGTCCTTGAAAGCCACTTTTTCCCAATCCAGGTGGGACTCGGTGGTTTTGAACTTGCTCCCGTCGTTGGAGGGCAGGTTATTCTTCATGCACTCCAGGAGGGTCAGCATGTCCTCCTGCGACCAGCGGTCTGAGCAGCGAGAAACGGGATCAGCCAGGGGCAGGAAGCCTTTTCCCTTCTCTTCCCTTCCCCTCCCGGCAGGATTCCGGGACTACAGCTCCCGGTGTGCCGCTCCGGACCGCGCGCCAGGACACGTAATCTGCACATGCTGCCTCTCGAGATTAAAGATCAAAGGGACGTGGCTGTTTCCATCACCCCCGAGCAACTTTCTGTGGGCCAAAACAATCTGGGCAAAGCTAGAAATTCCACTCGGTGCAAACCAGAGAGACTCGCTCATCCCAGAAAACCATCAGATAAGGGATGGCTCTGCTTCATGGGAGCACAGGGCTATTTCCTACCCCTGTGGAGTGACATGGGAGCAGTGAGCTCTCCAGCCAAGCAGGAAGCAGGGAAATGCACTTTTAAAGTGGAAAAGATGTGTCCAGAGCAACTGGAAAACCTCAGCGTTGCTTTTCCTGCACCTTGGAGAGCTCTGTGATCACCTGGGCCCAGCTCCATGGTGACCTCTGCCAAGGTCAAAGCTCCCAAAACACAAAGTGAGGGGGGCCAGAGCCCAGCACAGCCTCCCCATCTCACAGAGAGGTCCCTGACAGTGCAGGGATGATGATCACGTCACCCCAACATCCCCCAAGCTGCTGGGAGGAGCATCCCCAGCTCCCACAGGAACATGCCACTGCAGTGGTGGGATGGGCACGTGGCACAGCCGGAGAGCCCGGAGCGACCGTGAGGCCGGGACAGGCAGCAGCACCGTGCTGGGACAGGCAGCAGGCAGGATATCCCAGCCCTGAATCCAGCCCTGAATCCAGCCCAGCCTTGGGGCTGCTTCCTTGCCAGGGGAATTCCTCGCTGCTCCAAGCTTCCACGCCAGCTGGGGAGCACAGCCCGGGGTGCTCTGCAAACATGGGTGGCCCTGGGGAATGCAGCAGGGCCTGGGAGCGGAAGGAAAATTCCCTGGGGATGGGCTGGAGGAGGAGCAGAGCCCAGAGCCACCCGCCCACACAGCCACGGCTGCCTCACCCCGGGATGGGCACCCAGGATTCCCGCAGCAGCCCGGGACTGGCCCACCACGGCATTCCCTGCCTCACGTCTCTGCCAGGTGAAGGCTGAGGTGTTTGGAGCTGCTCACAGCACATGGAGCACCTCAAAGATGGGGACAGTGGGACACAGAGGATGCTGAAGGGATGCGGACAGTGTGGCCCATCATGGATCTGAGTGGAGCATCACTCCCTCCGTCTCCAGGAATGAAACCAAGCTCCCAGAAATATCCAGCTGCACAGATTTCTCCAGCTGCAGCTCTCCCTCCACTCAAGACTCAACATGAGGAAAATCACCTCCAGCTCCTGCCCTTGCAGGGGTCTGTGGAAGGACAACTCCCCCGGAATCCTGAATCCAAGCAAGGGATGTTTAAGAACATGTGGGACCCGGTGAAGGGAGCACAGCCAGGACGGGACCCTCCCATCCCATTTCCCCTCCTTGACCTGCCTGCTTGGGGGTCAAGGCAGGGACAGTTCTGGATCCAGCTGGTCCCTGTGGTGACCTCATCAGGGATTAAAACAGAGGGAGAAGACAGAAACAGCCCCCCTGGAAAGTGAGGGGCTTGGGGTGTGTCTCCATGTTCCTGGCTTCATCCCAAAACACCATGAAGAGGCAAAAAAGATGGGAAGCCCCCATTCCCTAGAGAGCTGGAGGAGGGAGAGAACAGCCCCAGATTCTGTCTTCCTGTGTTTTCCCAGCCGCTTTCCAGGCCTCCCAGGCAAGGACCAATGAGGCAGAACAGGGTTGGGAAGCTGGTGCCAACTTTACTTGCAGAAATCAGGAGGAATTACCAAAAGCAGCACAGCCACAAAAATCCAGAGGGGACAGAGAAGGGAATGAGACACCCCCCAAACCTGCCCCCATCAAACCCAGTGCCTCAGTTTCCCCCCTTGAATGCAGAAACACCCAGAGACTTTTGACCCCACGTGAACCAGCAGACAGCCAGAACAACCACATCCCAAAGGAACACATGAAAAAACAGTGGAAACATCCCAAAATCCTCACTGGCAGCAGGGTGGGGACAACAGGGACCCCCATACTCAGCTCTCCATTCCTCTGCTCCCCCCTCCCAACATGGGGCATGCTGAAAAATGCTGGAATTGCAGCGTTCACCCAGCAGGATGAATGGGGCTGTCTGTGCCCTGGGACCGATTTATCCCGGCTCTCCTGGCACCGGCCGGGCCGGGTCTATATTAGGAAAGCTGCCCCGGTGTAATTAAATCCACTAAAGTCCTGGAGAAGGACACGTGCTCCGGCCGGGTTCGCTCGAGGCAACAACCCCAACTGCAGCAAGGAAGGAGGAAAACTGGGGGGACCTGGCAGGTGTGAGGAGCTGGATGCTGCCCCAGAGGTTTGGGAGACCCATGGGGTTTTTGAGAGGTGGAGTGTCAGAGCCCTGCAAGCTGCCCTGAATGAACACCTTTCTTTTTTCCCTTCTTTTCCTGCCCCTTTTCCAATAAAAGTTGGAGCTCTGATGTCACGCCGGGCTCTGGAAGCTGGAGGCCCAAGGTAATGGCTCGGCTTTTAATGCAGCCCAGATGTGAGCAGGGAGGGCAGCACCTCTGTACCAGCCCCCACTTCCCAGTCCCCCTGAAACTCCAGTCCCCCAAAAGAGCATCCCATGCCAAGGGGCTGCTGGTGCACCAGAGCGTGAATCCGTGTGCTCGAGCACGCGTGTGCGTGTTCCCCGCCGTGGATCAGACCTCGGAGAGGCAGATTCCCCCCGCCTCAATCCGCTGGCAGCCGGGATCACGGATCCTCCACCCCTCCTCCTCCTCCTCCATCCCTTCTCCTCTGCCATCCCTCCGAGAAAAGGGGCGCTCTGAGGTTTATTTATTATTATTCTTAAGCGTGGCGGCAGAATTCCTCTGGGAGCACCGGCGTGTTGTGGAGGGCTGCCGGGGGCTCACCTTGGTTTTTGGGAGCTGTCATTTCCAGGTCTGCAGGGCACTCAGCTTCGCCGTTCATCCTCCACCTGCCTGTGCCCAGGACGGTCCCGCCGGCTCCCTCCTCACCCTCTTCCCGAAATCACTCCCGGACGGCTCTGCAAGGGAAGGGAGAACCCTGCTAGGCATCCCCACCATGACGGGGGAACTCCTAAAAGGATGTGTGGGGAACTTGATCCAGGCATCCGTCCATCCTCTCCACTCCCTGGTGAATGAGGAGCTGGAATACCCCTGCCCACCCATCCCTGTGGTCTGGGAGAGCTCCAGGAGGGGGGATCCTTCATGGTGATGTGACCCCCACACTGCTCAGGGGAGGAGAAAAGGGGTGTGTGGGCAGGGGAGAAGGGTCCAGGGGTTGGTCCCCAAGGTGGGGGTAGGATCTGAGAGGGATAAATAAATCCCAATAAATCCCAGAGGAAACAGATTCACGGTGGCTCCCTGGGATAGGTGGGATCCAAAAACCTGGGATCAAGAGAATCTGAGTCAAGAGAGCTCCAAGGGATCTCCTCTAAGGGGGTTCACTCCCCCCACTGCAAAATGGGGCATTTCAAAGGAAGGCCCACCACAGATCCAGCAAAATCCTCCCCAGAAGTGGGGACATGCTTGGAGAAAAGAAGGTTGTCCCAGATCCAAGGGAGCCGGGGGGCATTTGGGGACCTTGGCGGATTCAGAGGTCTCCCAAGGGAGGAGAACAAGCTGGAGGAATGTATTTCAACAGAGGAGGTCCAGGGGAAGGATCCCCTCAGACCCCATTAGGAAGGATCTTATGGCTCCATGGGGAAGGAAAACCTGGGGAGGGAGACCCCCAAAACTTGGTGGAGAGGGTGGCAGGACGGTGGTCTGGGGGGATCCCCACTGGGGATTCCATTGGGGCAGTCCCGGGAGGGCAGATGGGGGCCGGAGGCCTCAGGGGGAGCCCCGTGAGGGACAGGCCGCAGGCCCGGGGGGGAGCAGGCCCCAGGCCTGGGGAG